TAGAGGCACTAACTCTAAATACCAACAGAGGGAAGGACTCTTCACAGCAAGTATCAATGCGATCTATCCCCTCTGTACACAGGATAGACAGGGATGGGCAACTCAGACATTGGCTACCTAAAATGAGGGGGTGATAAAGGCACAAAGTGAGTGGATTACAAGGTTTCAAGAGGAAGTTTAGTTTAATAGTGTGTGGAGGGAAAAAAAGAGTCCCCACTGAATAGTTTTCATCTTGTCTAGTTGGGTCTGGTTAAAAAAGATGGGGATAAGATTCTTATGATTCAATAGTGACAAATTGTTATCATGACTAATTGCGACTGTCACAATGGTAAAGGTAGAAGTATTTTTTAACAAAAACAGGGGTGGGGGGGTAGTTAATCTTACAGTCAAGAAACAGATGACCCTAGGACCATCAAGGGAGAAGAGCACAAGCAGAATGCGAGACCTTATCCAGAGAAGCAATGATACCAGAGATGGAGACAGAGATGGGGACATGGAGAGAGGGAACAGCTGAGGACTCTAGATTCATGGGAAGTGAGGAGGTCAGGAGGCAGACTTGCAGAACGTGCCCTTTGGTGCTGTAAATTATTATATATGCCTGAATTTTTTTTTTTTTTAAAAAAAGAGCTAAAGTGATGAGAGAAATACTGTTAACAGACGGTACATGGAGGGGATTACAATCATTGTAATGAAACAAGCAGTATGATTTGTTGAATGTAAAACTGATGATCTGCCCTGCAAACTGCCCTCAATCTACAATAAAAACCTTTAAAAAAATCTGTTGCTGTTGTTGTTGTTATGTGCTGTCGAGTGGGTTCTGACTCATAGTGACCCTGAATGCGGTTTTCAAGGAGTGGCTGGGGAGCTTGAACTGCCAGCCTTGTGGTTCAAGCCGACCTTGCAGTCCAGTGCATTAACCCACAGTAGCACACCAAATTCAGCCTACCTATAGACCAAACTGGAGTCTTGGTGTGGCGCTGTGGGTTAATGCACCACACTGCAAAGCCGTTTCAACTGCAAGGTCGGCGGTTCAAGCTCACCAGCTGCTCCTCGGAAACCCTATACAGGGTCGTTATGGGTCAGAATTGACTCGACGGCACTTCACAAAACAACAACCAATAGACCAAACTCAACCCAAAACGCACTCACTGCACTGTGAATCTTTGCCACAACACTGAGAAAGGGAGTCTGCAACCATTTGTAATTATCTCTGGTAATACAGAATACACAGGGGAAGGTTGGCATTTATTTCGTTAAAATCCTGGCGCTAGAAAAAAATTCTTTCTGCATCCTCCACGATGGTACTGGTGCCACTGGGAAAATCCCCTACCATTCGGTTCAAAACACAGTATAATTAACTCATTTTTATACCAAGCCCTTTACAGCCAGATCTTTGTGTTGCATGGACTTCTAACATATTTTACAGTTCTAATTCCCTTCCACTGTCCTACATTAATCAAAGCTGTAACCCTGTTGTCTTTGTACTACAGAATCAGAATGTGCCCCTGGCGAGGAATGGGGGAAAAGTCAACAGGAATTAAATTTCAGTGCAACTGTTTACTCAACTGTGGCCTGCAGTTATTGAAATTTTATCCGTGGTTTTGTGTGACTACCGCAGTAATGAATTCAGCATGGTTGTGATTTTCTCACTGCTGGTATTCTCACTTCAAGTAAAAACCTGTAGAATAAAAAATGATGAAAACAACCAAAGTCCACTGCATTTACTCTCACATGTCCCTAAACTGTTTAATTGCAGCACTTTGCTGTCTGAAAGTAAACGGATGACTTTATTCTTTGGAATCTTTATTGAACCTGTAATTTGTCTTATTTCAGATTTTCCTTTTCCCCAACAACTATTAAAAACTTCATCAGATACTAGGGTAGGGAAACAGCTGTCAATATTTTATTTTCAAAGCCTGCCAACCACAATAAGTGGGGTTTTAGCCACAATTATAGATCCAACTGCTTTCTTCCCCCCTCCCCAAACATATCAATGACAAACAGAAATACAATTTTTCTAAGAAGATTATAAAAGAATTTCGATGTACAATCAAAATCAGTTTCCTGGCCTTCTTATCAATAATTCATAATAGCAAAGTTTTCAAAGTGGTGACAATGAAGGGAAAAGGAGAGGTGGCTAACCAACTTTGCTAGTGATCGTTTTTAAGAAAAATGCTCTCGAATCTACTTTGGACTCCCGTCTTTGCAGTCATTTTGCGGTTGTTGTGTGTGTGGAAAGTATATACGATAAGTTTTTGGGTGGTTTACCATTTAAGGATACTGAATTATTTTCAGCTTTCGAAATAAAATTTAGAAGTAGTTAATTTTCCACTTACTTAATTAACATAAGATAACTTCTAATTAGTCAGAAGTCTCATAGTCCATTAGACTCAGCTGCTCTTCACAAAACAGTAGATTTTTGGTTCCTGCCTGGCAAGGGCATATAAAATGACATTCCAAAATATATCATCTATTTATTCTCAGTATAGCCACAAATAGCACAAGAACATATGTTAGCTGGAATATATGAATAACCTTCTTCCATTTATTGCTTGGTTTTAATAACAGCCTCACTGACTGGAATTCCACCATTTGCACTAACTTAAATGGGACTCCTGGTGTGGCACTAAAGGATCAGCACTGGACTGGGAACCACAAGGTCAGCTGTTCAAATCCACCAGCTGCTCCTCGGAAATGCTGTACAAGGTAGCCATGAGTCAGAACTAACTGAACACTTAACAACAACAAATGCAAAAAGTTTCCAGACTGAATTTTAAATGGTGCCTGAGCTGTTGAGCACAATAGGTTGGACCTGACAATGGAAGTCACTTAAAGGAAGTGTTTAGAATTAAAATCTTGGCTTGCCTACGGTCTATCTTCTTCCTACAGATCCCACAATAGAATGCTGGATCTACCAGTTTCTAATGGATTCACTATTTAGTGATTCTTTATGCAGTAAAGCTTGTAAAAGCTAAAACCTACGTAAGACAGAATTTATCAGAGGCAAAAAAACAACAAAAAAACCTTATGTAGTGTTTACTAAAAGGAGAGACAGACAAGTGCTAAGACTGCACCCTGTCAAAGGTGGAAAACTTGCATGATCCAGAAAGACAAGTCATCTCTTTGGATTCCCACTCTCAGAGATTTCACTGTTTTTTATAAAAACTCTTGCAAGAAAAAAAATCAAACATGTGTTAGAGCCAACCAAAGGCTCCATCCCTAATATAAAAAAGATTCTCTTAGCTTCTCTGATACAGATTCCAAGAAACCGATTTGACAAAAGAGTTGCTTTCTTTTCCTCTCTTCCTCCAACAATGTCTGCAGCTTTCCAAAAGGCCCAAACATACATCATTCTTTAAAAAAAGAACAACTTTTGTTTCCCAAATAGCACCAAGGATAAATGAATCAAGGATGAACAAGAAAGAGAAAGCATGTAGTATCATGAACCCAATCAATAATTCTTGATTACAAGTTGTTGGTAAACAAAGGCTGTCTTAGAGAAAATGCTATTTATTTTTTGAAATTTTCACCAACACTCTGACAATAAAACACCATTTCCTCAGTTAATTTTACCACAGGAAAATACTTGTTGAGCTCTGTCAAAGTGCATATTTACAGTCAGTAGCCCTGGGAGACAGTGGTTAAAGTGCTTGGAGATTAACCAAAAGGTTCAAACCCAAGAGTATCCTCGCAGGAGAAAGACAGCAGTCTGTTCCCATACATGTACAGCCTTGGAAACCCCACTGGGCAGTTCACAACTGACTAAATGGTCAAAGGATGAGTATCTCTTCTGTGGTCATCAGCAAGAGATAATTTAAAACAGTAATGGGATTTAGTCACATACCAATTGCCACATTATATAATACACAAACAAGGAACCTTAAAAGCTTGTGGTAAATTTTCATTATTTTTTAGTTCCATTTTCTACCACCTTTTTGAAGCTTCTCATGTGTAGGTTTCCTCATATACCGAAATTTCTATATGTTCTTGTTAAGTGCTGTCGAGTCGGTTCTGACTCATAGTTGATGGTTTCTGAGGGGCAGTTGGTGAGCTTAAACTGTAAACCTTGTAGTTCAAAGTGACCTTGTAGTGCCATTAACCCACAGTGTCACAACAGGGTTCCAAATTCCTGAACAGGCAGAGGGAATATATCCCACCACTAAAGTCTGTCTTACTGATGGTTCCTGTTTTTTGCCCAATTCTGCCTGTACAAGTTTCCAGTCCCCTTATTCACCTACACTCATCTCTCTAGTTTTCCTTTGTTTCTGTCCTCATAAGATTTAAGTCCATTTTGTTTGTTTTATGTTTTTTAATGAAAACATGGGAAATATTTATTCAAATGTTAATTTTCTTCCAAAGAGTTAACAATGTTTAACTAACATGGTGAAGTTTGAGATGGGCAGTGGTCCACTCAAATCTTGATTTTTCTGGTTTCTAACCACTGTACCCCACAAGGGGGCTTTGGAAACTTCCACAAGTTGATTTCAACTCACAGAGACCCTATATGACACAGCTGACTAACTGCCCTATGTTGTTGTTGTTAAGTGCCGTGGAGTCGGTTCCGACCCATAGTGACCCTGTACAGGGTTTCCAAGGCTGTAAATCTTTACAGGAGCAGAAAGCCTCATCTTTCTCCCACGGAAGAGCTGGTAGTTTCGAACCGCTGACCTTTAAGTTTCACAGCCTGATTCGTAACCACTATGCTACCAGAGCTCCTTAACTGCCCTATAGAGCTTTTTAATCCGTAATCTTTTCGAGAAAAAACACCTAGGTCTTTCTCCTGCAGAAATACTGGGTAGACTCGAACCAACAAACTGTTCAATTAGCAGCTGAGAACTTAACTGTGTACCACCAGGCCTCATTACTGAAACCCTAAAGGGGCTGAAAGACATTCCTTACAATCAGACAGACACACATAAAACTTTGGTATCAGTCACGGGTTCTAAGGACAACACGATCACCCACCCCTTTCCATGACCCTTGACTCCAAAGCTCAGTACCTGTTGCTGTTGCTGGATGTGGGTAAGATCCGCTGCCCCCACGTCCACGGCTGGGGTCTCCCCGTTGGAGCGGCCCTCGCGAAGACTGCTGCACTCTAGTAAGTGGTTGCTGCTGCTTGGCCCGTTCTGAATGGCAGAACCGTTACTCTTTGCCTCAGTCCCAGAATCTTGCATCATGACTCAAAACCCTGCTGAAGAAATTTCAGGGGAGGAAGGGAAAAAAGACAGAAAAAAGCAGCTGGTAAAACAGTTGTTGTACATAAGGAGAAGTGCCCTGCTTTAAATGTTGCCAGAAACGATAAACAGTTGTCATTTTCTTTCACTCAATTTCTCTTTCATTAGTGGTCCAGTCTCCTAACTTATATGGATGGGAATGTCAGCTCAAATTCAACTTTCACTAGTATGGTTTTAAGTTATATCTTTGTGATTTATGGAAAGGGAAGTATTTTCGGGTGAACCTAGAATTTATGATTACTTTTCTCTGATTGTATCTGGATGTTTTGCAGATCAGCTATAACATCACATTCTAATATGCATAGGGGTCATATGGAGATGCTACATTCTTAGAGAACTATCTCCCAACTTCAACCTTTTAGGAGATGACACACATTACCTGGAGGGGTCCTGAACATCCTAAGTCACACACCAAAAAAAAGTTTAAAGGTTTATACTCCTTGGGATTGTTTAGGTACTGAAACTCTCCAAAATTGGACATTCCAATAAGATAGGTCACTTTTTCAAATACCAAGTACGTTCACACAAGGAACTGTGTTCTAGGAATCAACACTGTCCTGAGAAATGCTATTGAAAATTCTGTGTGTCCACACTCAGTGACCGCTCGCTCTGTCCTTTGCTTTAAGGATTGACCTACCAGATGCTCTGGAAACAGACACGTGGCAACCTCCCCCCTTAAAGATTACAACCTTGGAAATTCTGTGGGGTACTTCTACCCTGACCTCTAGGAACACTAAGACTTGTCCTGACTTGAGGGCAGCGGGCTTTTAGTTTGATATGAAGCCTGAGAGAGCTGTATTTATTTTAGAGAAATATCTCACAGGGGCACACTTAAGAAACAGCCTGAATTTGAAAGTACTGAATTTTTAATGGGGAAAAAAAGTGCAAAATGAATAACTATAGAATATACCCTATTTGTATAAATATGAGTGCAGTTCATATTCCTTCTTGCTACTTTTTAGGCACAAAACTCTTACTCTTAGGAGTCAGTTCAGGTCGCTTAGAATGCACAAAGGGTCCAAATAGGACAAGAAACAGACCATATCAGTTCCTGACATCAACTGCTAACCATCTATTGATGACCTGTGCTAGGCCAGGCCCTGGTGTGGCTCTGTGGGCTAATGCACCAGACTGCAAAGCCATTTTGAACTGCAAGGTCGCTGGTTCAAGCTCACCAGCTGCTCCTTGGAAACCCTATACAGGGTCCCTAAGGGTTGGAATCGACTCAACAGCACCTAACAACAACAACAACAACTGCAAGCAGTTCACATACAAGGGGGAGGCTTCAAAAATTCATGAGGAAACGCCATTCCCTTTTAATATACATTTTCTATGAACTTTTAGGAAGCTCTCACATATATTCTCTAATGTAACCCTAATAGCTATTGGTATTCCCAACTGGCAGAAAACTAAGGATCCATGAGGTTCATCTATTTTGCCCAGGACCTATTACAGGTATTATCAACTCCTAGCTAGAGGTTGGAGGTTTGAGCCCACCTAGAGGCTCCTTGGAAGAAAGCTCTCTCAAATCCAGTGCCATTGAGTTGACTGTGTATTATAGTGACCCTATGTAGTGTTTCTGGCACTATAAATCTTTACGTGAGCAGACAGCCTCATTTTCTCCTATGGAGCAGCTGGTGGGTTCGCACTATAACCTCGGACTGGAAGAAGGACTTGACAGTCTATTTCTACAAAGCACAATTCTACTTGGACACATGTGGACAAGTCATGAGTTGGAACTACCTAGATGACAACTGGTTTTTTGTTTGTTTTTTAATGGTGACTTCCGGATTTGAACCAATTCACTCCAATGCCAAAGCTCTTAACCACATGTGTGTGCTTACAGTGATGACACAGTGGGGTAATGCATTGAAAATGACACGGTCACTTCAAGTTTTCAAATTAGGAGGCTTTATAGGAAGGAACGTCTAAAATAAACATCGACAATGAGAAACACCTGACTCATTAAGACTGACGTAAAATACTTCCAATACAGATCGAAGGCAGAAGAATGTTAACACTAATTGGTTCTAATCATGGAAAGGCAACTAAGCAACCACTGCTGCAGATTTTTCCCCATCATATGAAATATGTGACAGTGTGGTGATATAGGATTAGCGCTCCATTATAAGGTTGGTTTGAACCGCAGGGTTGGAGGTTCAAGCTCACCAGTCACTTCTTGGATACCCTATACAGGGTCGCTGTAAGTTGGAACTGACTTGATGGCACTTAACAACATCAGACATCATTAGATGAGGCTTAACAACTTAACAACAACAACCAGACATCTTAGGAGTCCTGGTGAGGTGCTCCAGAATAATATACTAGACCACAAAGACAGTTTGAACCCCAAGGTTGGAGGTTCAAACTCACCAGCCGCTCCCTGAAACCCTATATAGGGTCACAATGAGTCAGAACTCACTCAACAGCACTTAACAACATCAGACATCATTAGATGAGGCTGTCCTCCCCTCTGCTGGAAACTGGTTTTGGTCTGATTTCTGGAAATTTGTACAAAAACCAAATAGGAGAATTACTAGAAGAAAAAAAAAAATTCACATCTTTCTTCATATCTTTTTTAGTGTGTAGTACGATCCAAGCTGACTACAAACTTGATAAACCCAGATAATCTATCTTTTTGAAAGTTAATCCAATTCTGAAGGGGATTACGAATGGCATTTTGCCATTAACAGGTGGGAAACAAACTCAGAAGCAACTGCTGATTTGTTCTTGTTTTTTTTAAGATCACACTTTCCAGTAATTACAGTTCTTTAAAAATTGCATTCCTACCCTTACTGTCTGCAGAATAAACAATCGATCCAAAATGAACACAGCAAAAACAAACAACTTAATTCTACTGCAAAATATAAAAGTCAGGCGACAAATGTGAGGGCCTTGTTCATCACCAGTAAAGGAATCCATTTTTGAAATGTATGCGTGCCCCCACCTTATTGCCCTCGTTCAGTGTTTTTCAGTTACTGTTTTGCAAATCTGCCTATTCAAATAGAACTAAAGAGTTCCTAGATAGACAAATGACTTGTGATTCCCGTCCACTCACAGGTACCTCAGAAGAAAGACCTGGTAACAATCTGCTTCTTAAAAATCAGCCGTAGAAAACCCTGTGTTGCCCAGTTCTACTCTGACACATGAGGTTACCATGAGCTGGATGGCAGCTGGTTTGCGGACAGTAAGAAAAAGGCATGGCATTTAAGAAAGGGAATGGTAGTTTTCGTAAGGTAATCCATTTAATCATAAGGATGTGCTACAGAATGTCTGAAGAAAAAAATCTTGTAATTGTACTTTCTGGAAAGCCTGCTCATGCATCAGGGAGTGGAATCCTCAAATACAGAAACACCTGCCCATGCATAAACTCCAAACCTGCCCTCAGACTGGGGCATATTTAGCCAATTCTACCATACTGCCTGAGTAGAGCTGAGGACAAAACAGGGTAAGAAACACTGTTTTCACACCGCATATCAAGGGGACTCTGGACCTGAAAACAGGTGTATAAGAGACTGCGCTGTTTTTTCATTCCTCAATTTGGCACCATCATGGTGGGTGGAGTCAGAACAACCTCCAATACATGATTGGATGAGAAGGCCCAGTTTCTGCTCCACGCAGTTCTAAAGAAGACTGCCAAGTTTCTCTAGTACAAGTTTTTCAGGAATGAAGCCAAGGAACTTGGCTTGTGAATCAGGTTTGTGAGAGTGGAAGCTCTGGGACCAAAATTACACAAAGGATTATTTTGGTCTGAGGATGTCCTTAATTAGCCAAGTGCTAACAGTAGTATGTAGGTTGGAAGATTTAAATTTTCCCATAACCTCCCACACCAATCAGGAGAAAACAGCTTTTTTTAAAAGTACATATGAAAAATTAAGAGTGTCAATGTCTAAAAAAAATTTCTAGAAGTATCTGGGTTGGCAATATCTTTTCTATGGACCATTCCAAACCATTTAATAAGACTTTATAACTGTATCACACTTTCCAAACTAGAAAGCCCTCATGACAAGTCTATGAAGGAGACAAGGCAGGTTATGTTCCCCCCATCTTACAGATAACTAAATCTCAGTATTTTAAGGGATTTGTTGTTGTTAGGTGCCATCAAGTCAGTACTGACTCATAGCGACCCTAGGCACAAAAGAACGAAACACTGCCCGGTCCTGGGCCAACCTCACAATTGTTGCCACACTTGAGCCCACTGATGCTGCCACTTTGTCAATCCATCTCGCTAGGGGTCTTCCTCTTTTCCTTTGACCCTCTACCTTGCCAAACATGAAATCCTTCTCCAGCGACTGGTGCCTCCTGACAATAGGTCTGAAGTATGGGAGACGAAGTTTGGCCATCCTGGTCTCCAAGGAGCACCCTGGCTGCACTTCTTCCAACACAGATCTGTTGGTTCTTCTGGCAGCCCATGGCATTTTCAACATTCTCCTCCAACACCATAATTCAAACGCATCAATTCTACGGTCTTCCTTATTCACGTCCAGCTTTCGCATGCATATGAGGTTATTGAAAATACCATGGCTTGGGTCAGGCGCACCTTAGTCCTCAAGCTGACATCTTTGCTCTTCAACACTTTAAAAAGGTCTTGTGCAGCAGATTTGCCTAATGCAATAATACGTTGTATGATTTCTTGACTGCTGCTTCCTTGAGTGCTGATAGTTGATCCAAGAAGAATGAAGTCCTTGACAACTTCAATCTTTTCTCCGTTGATAAGAATGCTGTTTATTGGTCCAGTGGTGAGGATTTTTGTTTCCTTTACATTGAGATGTAATCCATATTGAAGGCTGTGCTCTTTGATCTTCATCAGTAAATAATCAGATGTAGCCAAAACTGTTCTTTAATTCAGCCATGAAGTAGTCCATTCAATGCAGGATTGAGATTTTCCAATTTGCAAATCCTTGTGCTGTATGGTGAATGAAGGAATTGGTGAATGGCAAACTAAGTACATTGC